CAAGTTGAAGCTAATTCTACAAAATGATTCATTACTAGAAAGGTTTGGAAATTTAAAAAAATTCTTAACAATCAAGAATGATCACAATCATACTGGTATTTTGTGTGTGCATGTGCAAACTAGGTTCCTTTTATCACGGGACACTTGAATAATTTAAATGAATGTTTTAAAGATCCATTTTCTCACTGCCTAGTCGTAGAAGTACCTTTTTTGCATCTACATATTTCCAATATGCTTCCTTCAAAGAGTTTTCCCGGCTTAAAAGGTCCAACTTTTTGGAACGGTTCTATTGCGGTATTTCTGCGGAACAACCAACAAGAATTTTTCCCAATATTCGTGGCAAAGGACACATCACAACAGGTCTTCTTTTATTTAGAGTGCTCAATAAAGCCGTCTTTGGTTGGTTTGAGATTGGAACTTGATGACTTGAAAAACGCATTCCTCTTGAATTTCAAGAGGCCTCTGTTTGATATTGAAATACAACTCCATCACTTCTCAATAAATTCATGTCAAGTGGAGCAAGAATAGGAACCTTTGCGATAGGAGATTGCTAGTACATCTAAAAACTTCTTATGTGAGCAAGATGTACGAGTAACTCGTTTGCTTCTTGTTAGTCGAGGGGTTGAAATGAATATCAAGTCTTACATTAGAAAGTTCTCAGCTAGTTGGTTTAAGACAACCAGTAGCTAAACGCATACGCTTAGGGAAGGATCAAGGCAAGAAGTTTGATCGTTCCAAAAACTTGCGTCCTTATGGAGATAGAAATTAATTTCATGAAGAGCACCATTGGTAATGAAATGTAATATTTATTGTCCGCACCAGTAGCACAGTTTTCCAAGACGAATTTTTAGAAATTTTTTCGTTTTTGAAAATGAATAAAGATAATTCACCATTCATAAATCCTCTATTGCACAAGATAACTTTAATTTTTAAAAAAGTGACAAAATTTCATTTGTTATTTAATACCGAGCTTGAAGATCTGATGAGATCTATCCAAAGGAATGTTTATGCACAGGAAGG